GTAGTTACATTAAAATTACATTAAAGTTACATTAAATGTACATTAAACTTATATTAAAGTTACATTAAACTTATAATAAAGTTACATTAGTTATATTAAAGTTAAAGTGTAGTTACATTCAAATTACATTAAAGTTACATTAAAATTGCATTAAAGTTACATTGAAATTATATTAAAGTTACATTAAAGTTATATTAAAGTTAAATTAAAGTTATATTAAAGTTAGAGTAGTTACATTAAACTTACATGAAATTTATATTAAAGTTACATTAAAGTAAAATTAAAGTAAAATTAAAGTTATATTAAAATTACATTGAATTTATATTAAAGTTATATTAAAGTTATATTAAAGTTAAATTAAAGTTATATTAAAATTATATTAAAATTACATTAAAGTTACATTGAAGTTACATTAAAGTTACATCAAAGTTACATTAAAATTACTTTAGTTACATTAAAGTTACATTAAAGTTACATTAAAGTTACATTTTAAATTACATTAAAATTGTATTAACGTTACATTAACATTAATATAAAGTTACATTAATCTTACTGTAAAGTTACCCTAAGGTTACAATGACGTTACATTAAAGTAGCTACAAAGTAAACCTAATGTTACATTAAAGTTACATTATAGTTATTATAAACTTACCCTAATCTTACATTAAAATTACATTAAAATTACATTGAAGTTACATGAAAGGTACGTCAAAGTTACATTAAAATTACATTAGTTGCATTAAAGTTACATTATAGTTATTATAAAGTTACCCTAATCTTACATTAAAGGTACATCAAAGTTACATTAAAATTATATTAGTTACAATAAAGTTACATTACAGTTAAAGTTACATTACAGTTAGTTATATTAAAGTTAAATTAGATATATTAAAATTATATTAAAGTTACATTCAAATTACATTAAAGTTACATTACAGTTAAAGTTACATTACAGTTAAAGTTACATTGAAGTTAAAGTTACATTAAAGTTATATTAAAATTACATTAAAGTTACATTAAAATTATATTGAAGTTCATTAAAGTTACTTTAAAATTACATCCGTTACATTAAGGTTACATTAAAATTACATTAAAATTACTTTATTGTTACATTAAAACTGCATTAAAGTTACATTAATCTTACATTAAAGTTACATTAATGTTACACAAAAGTTATCCTAAAGTTATATTAAAGTTACATTAAAGTTACAATAAAGTTATATTAAAGTAATCATAAAATTACCCAAGTCTTACATAAAAGTTACTAGAAAATTACCCTACTCTTTAGTTCCAGTCTTTAGTTCGTCTTTAGTTGCAGTATTTAGTTCAAGTCTTTAGATATAGTCTTTAGTTCTAGTTTTTAGTTCCAGTCTTTAGTACTAGTGTTTAGTTCCAGTCTTTAGTACTAGTTTTTAGTACCAGTCTTTAGTTCCAGTCTTTAGTTCCAGTCATTAGTTCCTGTCTTTAGTACCAGTCTTTAGTTCCAGTCTTTAGTTCCAGTCTTTAGTTCCAGTCTT